TGGTGACGATGCCCCAGAACCCTTAAAACCAATGCCTCCTCTTTAATGTCAACGGTTTCCCACAACCCATGAAAACAATGCCTCCACTTTAGTGCTGACGGTGTCCCAGAACCCTGAAAAACAATGCCTCCACTTTATTTCTAACGGTCTCCCAACATCCATGAAAACAATGCCTCTACTTTATTGCTAACGGTGTTCCAGAACCCTGAAAAACAATGCCTCCACTGTATTTCTAACGGTGTCCCAACATCCATGAAAACAATGCATCCACTTTAGTGCTGACGGTGTCCCAGAACTCTTTAAAAACAATGCTTCCACTTTGTTGCTGACGGTGTTCCAGAACCCATAAATACAATGCCTCTACTTTGTTGCTGACGATGTCCCAGAACCCATAAAGACAATGCCTCCACTTTAATGTCAACGGTGTCCCAGAACCCATGAAAACAATGCCTCCACTTTAGTGCTGACGGTGTCCCAGAACCCATGAAAACAATGCCTCCAATATACTGCTAACGTTGTCCCAGAACTTATGAAAACAATGCCTCCACTGTATTGCTAACGGTGTCCCAGAACCCTGAAAAACAATGCCTCCACTTTATTTCTAACGGTCTCCCAACATCCATGAAAACAATGCCTCTACTTTATTGCTAACGGTGTCCCAGAACCCTGAAAAACAATGCCTCCACTGTATTTCTAACGGTGTCCCAACGTCCATGAAAACAATGCCTCCACTTTAGTGCTGACGGTGTCCCAGAACTCTTTGAAAACAATGCTTCCACTTTGTTGCTGACGGTGTTCCAGAACCCATAAATACAATGCCTCTACTTTGTTGCTGACGATGTCCCAGAACCCATAAAAACAATGCCTCCACTTTAATGTCAACGGTTTCACAGAACCCATGAAAACAATGCCTCCAATATACTGCTAACGTTGTCCCAGAACTTATGAAAACAATGCCTCCACTTTATTGCTAACAGTGTCCCAGAATCCTGAAAAACAATGCCTCCACTTTATTTCTAACGGTCTCCCAACATCCATGAAAACAATGCCTCTACTTTATTGCTAACGGTGTCCCAGAACCTATGAAAACAAGCCTCCACTTTATTGCTGACGGTGTCCCAGAACCCATGAAAACAATGCCTACACTTTATTGCTGACGGTGTCCCAGAACCCATAAATACAATGCCTCCACTTTGTTGCTGACGGTGTCCGAGAACCCTTAAAAACAATGCCTCCTCTTTATTGCTGACGGTGTCCCAGAACCCATAAAAACAATGCCTCCACTTTATTGCTAACGGTGTTCCAGAACCCATAAATACAATGCCTCCACTTTGTTGCTGACGGTGTCCCAGAACCCATAAAAGCATTGCCTCCACTTTATTGCTAATGGGTTCCCAGAACCGATGAAAACAAGCCTCCACTTTATTGCTGACGGTTTACCAGAACCCATAAAAACAATGACTCCACTTTATTGCTAACAGTGTCCCAGAACCCATAAAAGCAATGGCTCAACTTTACTGCTAATGGTTTCCCAGAACCTATGAAAACTAGTCTCCACTTTATTCCTGACGATGCCCCAGAACCCTTAAAAACAATGCCTCCACTTTATTGCTGACGGTGTCCCAGAACCCATGAAAACAATGCCTCCACTTTAATGTCAACGGTTTCCCAGAACCCATGAAAACAATGCCTCCACTTTAGTGCTGACGGTGTCCCAGAACCCATGAAAACAATGCCTCCAATATACTGCTAACGTTGTCCCAGAACTTATGAAAACAATGCCTCCACTTTATTGCTAACGGTGTCCCAGAACCCTGAAAAACAATGCCTCCACTTTATTTCTAACGGTCTCCCAACATCCATGAAAACAATGCCTCTACTTTATTGCTAACGGTGTCCCAGAACCTATGAAAACAAGCCTCCACTTTATTGCTGACAGTGTCCCAGAACCCATGAAAACAATGCCTACACTTTATTGCTGACGGTGTCCCAGAACCCATAAATACAATGCCTCCACTTTGTTGCTGACAGTGTCCGAGAACCCTTAAAAACAATGCCTCCTCTTTATTGCTGACGGTGTCCCAGAACCCTTAAAAACAATGCCTCCACTTTATTGCTGACGGTGTCCCAGAACCCTTAAAAACAATGCCTCCACTTTATTGCTGACGGTGTCCCAGAACCCATAAATACAATGCCTCCACTTTGTTGCTGACGGTTTCCCAGAACCCATAAAAGCAATGCCTCCACTTTATTGCTAATGGTTTCCCAGAACCCATAAAAGCAATGCCTCCACTTTATTGCTAATGGTTTCCCAGAACCTATGAAAACAAGCCTCTACTTTATTGCTGACGGTTTCCCAGAACCCATAAAAACAATGACTCCACTTTATTGCTAACAGTGTCCCAGAACCCATAAAAACAATGGCTCCACTTTACTGCTAATGGTTTCCCAGAACCTATGAAAACTAGTCTCCACTTTATTCCTGACGGTGTCCCAGAACCCTTAAAAACAATGCCTCTACTTTATTGCTGACGATGCCCCAGAACCCTTAAAAACAATGCCTCCACTTTATTGCTGACGGTGTCCCAGAACCCATCAAAACAATGCCTCCACTTTAATGTCAACGGTTTCCCAGAACCCATGAAAACAATGCCTCCACTTTAGTGCTGACGGTGTCCCAGAACCCATGAAAACAATGCCTCCAATATACTGCTAACGTTGTCCCAGAACTTATGAAAACAATGCCTCCACTTTATTGCTAACGGTGTCCCAGAACCCTGAAAAACAATGCCTCCACTTTATTTCTAACGGTCTCCCAACATCCATGAAAACAATGCCTCTACTTTATTGCTAACGGTGTCCCAGAACCTATGAAAACAAGCCTCCACTTTATTGCTGACAGTGTCCCAGAACCCATGAAAACAATGCCTACACTTTATTGCTGACGGTGTCCCAGAACCCATAAATACAATGCCTCCACTTTGTTGCTGACGGTGTCCCAGAACCCATAAAAACAATGCCTCCACTTTATTGCTGACGGTGTCCCAGAACCCTTAAAAACAATGCCTCCACTTTATTGCTGACGGTGTCCCAGAACCCATAAATACAATGCCTCCACTTTGTTGCTGACGGTGTCCCAGAACCCATAAAAGCAATGCCTCCACTTTATTGCTAATGGTTTCCCAGAACCCATAAAAACAATGCCTCCACTTTATTGCTAATGGTTTCCCAGAACCTATGAAAACAAGCCTCCACTTTATTGCTGACGGTTTCCCAGAACCCATAAAAACAATGACTCCACTTTATTGCTGACAGTGTCCCAGAACCCATAAAAACAATGGCTCCACTTTACTGCTAATGGTTTCCCAGAACCTATGAAAACTAGTCTCCACTTTATTGCTGACGGTGTCCCAGAACCCTTAAAAACAATGCCTCCACTTTATTGCTGACGGTGTCCCAGAACCCTGAAAAACAATGCCTCCACTTTATTGCTGACGGTGTCCCAGAACCCTTAAAAACAATGCCTCCACTTTATTGCTGACGGTGTCCCAGAACCAGAAAAAACAATGCCTCCACTTTATTGCCTACAGTGTCCCCAAACCCTTAAAAACAATGCCTCCACTTTATTGCTAATGGTTTCCCAGAACCTATGAAAACAAACCTCCACTTTATTGCTAACGGTGTCCCAAAACCCTTAAAAACAATGGCTTAACCTTACTGCTAATGGTTTCCCAGAACCTATGAAAACTAGTATCCACTTTACTGCTGACGGTGTCCCAGAACCCCTAAAAACAATGCCTCCACTTTATTCCTGACGGTGTCCCAGAACCCTTAAAAACAATGCCTCCACTTTATTGCTGACGATGTCCCAGACCCCTTAAAAACAATGCCTCCACTTTGTTGCTGACGGTGTCCTAGAACCCTTAAAAACAATGCCTCCACTTTATTGCTGACGGTGTTCCAGAACCCATAAATACAATGCATCTACTTTGTTGCTGACGGTGTCCCAGAACCCCTAAAAACAATGCCTCCACTTTATTGCTGACGGTGTCCCAGAACCCATTAAAAACAATGCCTCCACTTTCCACGGTTTCCCAGAATTGCTGACGGTGTCCCAGAACCCTTAAAACAATGCCTCCACTTTATTGCTTACGGTGTTCCAGAACCCATAAATACAATGCCTCCACTTTGTTGCTGACGGTGTCCCAGAACCCATAAAAGCAATGCCTCCACTTTATTGCTAATGGTTTCCCAGAACCCATAAAAACAATGACTCCACTTTATTGCTAACGGTTTCCCAGAACCCATAAAAACAATGACTCCACTTTATTGCTAACGGTTAGTGGTTTCCCAGAACCTATGAAAACTAGTCTCCACTTTATTGCTGACGGTGTCCCAGAACCCTTAAAAACAATGCCTCCACTTTATTGCTGACGGTGTCCCAGAACCCTTAAAAACAATGCCTCCACTTTATTACTTACTGTGTCCCAGAACCCATAAATACAATGCCTCCACTTTGTTGCTGACAGTGTCCGAGAACCCTTAAAACAATGCCTCCTCTTTATTGCTGACGGTGTCCCAGAACCCTTAAAAACAATGCCTCCACTTTATTGCTGACGATGTCCCAGAACCCTTAAAAACAATGCTTCCACTTTATTGTTGACGGTGTCCCAGAACCTATGAAAACAATGCCTCCACTTTACTGCTAATGGTTTCCCAGAACCCAATAAAGCAATGCCTCCACTTTATTGCTAATAGTTTCCCAGAATCCGTGTTAGGAATGGCTTCACTTTACTGCTAATTGTCCCAGGATCCATGTAAGTACTGCCTCCCATATATTGCTAAAAGTGTCCCAGAACCAATTTAAGCATTGCATCCACTATATTGTTAACAGTGTCCTAAAATCCATGAAGCACTGCCTCCACTTTATAGCTGTATTGCTGTCATATTACTAGCGGCATCACAGAACACTTCTGAGCACTGTCTCACTCTATTTTCAGGGCAAAGAATGTTGCAGCCAGCTGACAATAAGCTTTCACTATGTGGATCCTAAACAAATGAGGGCGCTGGAATTTCTGTTGTATAGGACGAGTATCTACGGGAGAAAAACCGAACCATTATTTTTTAAACATTTCTTTCAAATAGGTGTCGTTCCCTCATTACCTCCACAGTGGCCCTGGGCAGGCTGCAGGCGGCTGCTAAAGACATTCACAAAGAATATTGCCTGGTTACGTTACTGTAGAGAGAACTGAAATCATGGCCATATTTGTTTAATAATCACTGAAAACACATTTTCAGAATATACTTCATAGAAATATCATGTTGTGCATACAGGTTTTGAATACAGACACAGGTTTTCAGGCTTACAATTTCGATTCTGAATAAAAAATGCAATGTTTATGTAATTAGGACATATTATTATTTATATATTTTTTTTTATTTGCCGCCGTTTCTTTCTTTTTTTGACGCGAGGCTGTGTGGGTTAGATAGTTGAATTTGTGTGCCAGACTCTGAGAGTGTTGGTTCGAATCCCGAATGGGAATTAAGCTAATGAAAGTACTTGAATCTTTATTTTACTGAGAAAGTGTAAGCCCAAATATAACACATGTTACAAGAATGGTGATGTCAGGTATACCTCGTGCAATGGGCCCAGAGCTTGCTAAACCTAGTATGTGATCTGGATCAAGGTTTTATGTGTTCTGCGTGGGCATTTTCTAGCTGTGGATTAACGAGATCGGTTGAAAGAGAGTGAGAGAGACAAGGTAATGCATAGCAATGCCACAAATGATCAATGCTCATATATAAATGAGCACGTGATGTTAACGTCGCGACTTTTATACTGACATGTAGCAAGAACTGTTTCTACAAAGTTGTCATTCGTTTGGTCATTCAAATACAGGGGAGCCAATGAGTCGAAGGATCACCCACGTTCTGAACGTTCTTAGCACTTCGCCGAGTCTGTATGGAAACATTCTGGAATAGCCTGATGAGAGCCGGGTACAGCTCTAGAAGTGTCATCAAACGCCCTCTACAGAGCGATAATCGCCAACAAGTACGTGTGGTTTGTTGTTTACCAGGACGAAAATACATTGGTCTGACGAAAGCCGATTCCATCTTCATGTAACTGATGGAATCTCGAACAATTTGGAGGCAGCGAAATACAGCATTTAAAGCGAAAACAGTCAACCAACTGCCAACTGCCTTTGGTGGCGATTCCGTCATGGTGCGGGGATATCTCTCCTCTCTGGACTTAACTTGGTGACAATGCCTGGAACTTTGACGAGTGATCAGTATATCCCGGAAGTGCTGGATCCAGTCGTTGACCGACCGTTTGGTGTCCTGAACCCACTCTAGCACATATTTGTTGTTCAAATTCTTCATTTTAATGCTTTGTTTAGAAGTTTACTGTTAGAATTCTTCCATTTAAGGCTTTGTGTAGGAGTTCACTGTTAGAATTCTTTCATTAAAGGCTTTGTGTAGGAGTTCACTGTTAGAATTCTTTCATTAAGGTTCTTTCATTAAAGGCTTTGTAAAGGGGTTCACAGTTAGAATTCTTTCATTTAAGGCTTTGTATAGGAGTTCACTGTTAGAATTCTTCCATCTAAGGCTTTGTATATGAGTTCACTGTTAGAATTCTTCCATCTAAGGCTTTCTTTAGGAGGTCACTGTTAGAATTCTTTTCATCTAAGGCTTTGTTAGGTCTTTGTCGTCAGAATTTTTTCATCTAAGGCTTTGTTTAGCAGTTTACTGTCCAGTCACTAAAGACTTCAAATACTTGCTTAATGACAAAAAAAGCGAGCCTTCATGAAAAATGATATTACTCAACTTAAGCTAACACAGAAAGAATTCAATTTGAAGACACGCCAATTAAAAGCCGAGTACAAAGGAAAGGTGGAAAGCCAGTTCAAGCAGTGCAATCTGAAACAAGCGTGGCAGTGGATCATGGTAAGAAAGCTGCAAACTATGGGAATTCACAACTTATTATTAGAAGGGTCGGAGACTTCCTCCATGCAAGATTTCAGTGTGTGAAAGTTAACGACAGTGTATGGGACATGAAGGTTATCAATACAGGAGTGCTGCTAGGTTGTGTTATGTCACCAGTCCTGTTCACTCTATACACCAATGACTGCACTAGCGTAGAAAATAACTGTATAAATGTGAAGTTTGCTGATGATGCAGCCATTGTTGGTCAGATGTATGATTAATCAGAGCGACGCTACAGAGATAATGTAAAGATTTCACATCATGGTGTACAGAGAATCATTTGATTTTAAATGTGAAAAAGACAAAAGAACTGAGTATTAATTTCGGAACCAACTCCCCATCAGTACCACCTTTGTTCATTAATGATGAACCAATCGAGACAGTACCTTGGAACCTTTATTGATAGCAGGTTAACGTGGAACACCAGCACAGGTGCCCTGTATAGTAAATGTCAACAACGCCTCCATCTAATGCGCAAACTGCGATCTTTTAATGTTTCCCAATCTGTTATGATGTTGTTTTATACCGCTTTTATTCAGAGTATACTCACTTTTTTTCTCAGTTCTGGTTCGAGTCTCTTTCAGTCAAAAACAAACCAAAACGTAACAAAATTGTAAATGCAACTAGTAAAATAGCCGGGTCACTTTCGATGATCTTTCACTTCTCTATGAGCGGCAAGTTAATTTTATTGGATATTGTTATAGCGCACATATCCACGCACTAGTGCATGCTCAAGGCGCTGGTATTTTTTTCCCTCGATCTTTGGATGTCAATCTCAACGGCACATCTTATTATCAATATCAGCTCCCTGGGGATCATACAACTCTTGCTGCCACAAGGCGCACTGAGTTATAGCGGCTTTCCCGTCCTTACGAGGTACCCATTCACAGCTGGGTGGACTGGGACACATTGTCACAGTACTTCGTCGAAGTTCACTGCACGTTCCTGTACCCGCAACTAGATGTTTGCACGTATTCATGTGGCTACCATCTGTTCATATACCAACGGATTCGTGGGTTCTTTTAAGTGCACAGGGTTGTGTACTGTACACTAGGGGTTGTGACAACACTGAAAGAGTCTGCACACAAAGTTGACTCCAAGGTTTTTACACCCGGTCACAGGTGGGCTCGATCCCGACACCTCAATCTCTCTGGATCACTAGCCTGGCGCCTTAGCCAGTTCGCCCACCACACCCCCGTGTACTTTCAACCTCTGAAAACATCATTAATGACCCAACACATTTTTTAAATCTAGAGTATAAGCTTTTACCTTCGGGTCGCTGCTACACAGTACCAATCACCAAAACAAAACGAGCTCGAACGTCTTTTGTACCTCTAAGTATTGTAATTTTAAACAAATGTTGAATGTCCAGTTATCATCTTATTCATTTAATTATATTTAAGCACAGTTTATCTCTTTTTGTTTTTAGTAATTTCATATTTTATGTTGTTATTTGTATTTTTGTCTAACTCAGTGATCCAAAAAGAATTCCTTTTAAGGTAATAAAGTATTGTCTGAATTCTTTCATCTAAGGCTTTGTTCAGGAGTTTACTGTCAGAATTCTTTCATCTAAGGCTTTGTTCAGGAGTTTACTGTCAGAATTCTTTCATCTAAAGCTTTGTTATGGAGTTTATCTGATATGGCCATTACCAAGTTATAAATACCAACTTCTGGAATAACGACGTTTCTGTCCAGATCCTCACATCGTTGTTATGGGAGACGGTGATTTCGTAGACTGAACCAGTTCGTAGACGCGGTGGATTCGTATCCCAGACTGGTTCGTAGACGTGTATTAATAATTGAATAATAGTATATATTAAGTTTGATTTTTACTTAGATTGTGTATACGAAACTAAGGGCAGCTTGATTGAGAAAAGTGTGATTGAAGAGTGAACGAATATTTTCCCGTATCATGTCTAGACTTGTTTACATGTATTTGTATTTGTATATGTAGGGTGTCTGTTGTATTTTTTGTTTTCAGTTGATACGAAAATATTGTTACTGTGTGACTTTGTGTGTAATAAGGATGAAGCGTCGTAAAATGTAAGAAGACAGACAACAATGCTATGGAAGAGCAATAATGTAATCTATTTATAATCAAGAACAATAGGTAACAACAGCATGTATCACAGTAGTAGTTAGATAACACCGTTATCACGCAAATGATGATAAGGAAGGAAGTACGCATCACAGTAGTAGTTAGATAACACCGTTATCACGCAAATGATGATAAAGAAGGAAGCACGTATCACAGTAGTAGTTAGATAACACCGTTATCACGCAAATGATGATAAGGAAGGAAGCAAGTAGTAGAGGAAATGATTGTCCTGGACCAAGTCCAACAAAAGCCTCTGCAAAGCCTTATTCCCCAAATAAGGCTTTGGTCGGACCCTTAGCTCTTGCTGTCATTACCCCTACTATGAAAAATTAGTAAAATGTCCCCAGCAGCCACAATTCCCCAAGGGAGAAATAGAAATGTATTGCGCTTCCTCCAAAGGGGAATTATCATCTATGCCACGTTGACTGGTGGTAACACTGTGCCGTACGGTACGATCAATAATTCTTCTCTTACAAACCCTCTGCCTGGTCCATCCCTCAAGTAGTACAAGTTAGGCTCGTCGGCTTTCATGTCAACTTTATCTATGTTGTAAGTTTTGACTGACCATATAGGATCGGTGGCTCGCTTACGGCTATCACCCTCATGTTCCCCATGCTGGTATAGATACCTAACTAGGGCCCTATCTGGTATCTGTTTCTCCTTACCACGCAATGGAGCAGCCGACTCTGCAACTATTGATTTTAGTTTGATAGCGTCTGCCGGTTTCTTGCCGGTGAGACGGGTGACTTCATGGTTGATTGCCGACACCACCTTAGGTAACCTGTGACCCATTCAGTCGATCGTTTTTCCGGGGCGGCCAACTCCCTCGCATACTGATGTCCAAATAAGCGCTCAGCCAAAGTCCTATTGAATCTCTCAACTATGGCTTGGCTGCGATGGGCTCCAGCCGTGCCACGCCTGACCTTTGTATCGTGTTTGGCTAGCAGTTGTGACACGGCACCCATGAACTCCCGCCCGGGGTCAACTTGCAGCTCTGTTGGCCACGCCAGCGGACTGCGTTTGTATATGCGTTCGAATCCTCTAGCCACCTGGACCGAATCTTTCGTGGTCAAGGGCTCGGCTTCCTTGTAGCGACTGGCTACATCCACTACGGTTAAGGCATACTTGTACCTCTTGTCGTGGGGTAGGAACAGTAGGTCTGCCTGGTGAACGCTATTAGGTATATACCAAACTTCCTTCTAGGCACGTAGCGTGGTGGCGACAAATAGATCTGCCACAGGGCTTGTTTTTCAAGCCACGCTTTGGCTTCCTCCGGG